GCACCCACCCAAAAAAAAGAGGAAGTGAGGTAAAAGGCAAACACAGACGTCCAGAAACAGGAAAATAGAAAACAAAGAAGCCCTCACACAGCTGGCGATAGGCAACAGAACAGTGCTGAGGTGTGAAGTTTTACAAGAAGCACATAAACTGGCACATAAAAGGGAAGTAACTGGGTTTCAGAACATGGAAATAGGATACAACTACCGCAGAGGAGTGGTAAATCGCAAACACCACCAACAACACTAACACAGGCATAAGTGAACTTATGTTTGCAACTTATATATTATATATATATTTTATATATATATCTATATATGAAAAAAGCAAAACATGACACCAGCGGCCAGACAGAATGCAAACACAAAAACCACGGAAGCAACTCCTGACACAATCATGCTGACGGTCCTTCTGGGACCGGCTCACATTTCACTGTATTGTGACATAAATTACAAACAGAAAGGATGAGGGAAACCCAAACACATCCGGTACTTGTGCGGCATCATGGGAAGCCTAGATCAAACCAGCCGAGAAATAATAAAAAAAATGAATAGTGCTGTTCATCCGTGGGTGCAATTACTTAGATGTTTGAAGGCCACATTCATCACTTTGAATATTTACGCCAGCCATCATACCCTTCTGGAAGGAGATTACTTCGGTGTTGAATGCGTTCTCATGCTAAATGTCCAAATCAAACCCAGAACACTAGAAAAAGCAACAGTTTACCGTAATCCACTGTGAGATAAGAGATGCGCTGACATGTAGTGAAAGGCCACTCAGCTAGAAAGGAGTCATCACTCCAAAAGGAGTATAAAAGGACCGATTACCAACAGTTTTGGAAACATATTATGTGTTCTGATAAAACTAAACTTCAAATGTTTGCGCATTGTGATAAAAAATATACCTGGATCAAAAAATCATCGTAGTGTGTAAGGAGGGACTGGTGTACTTAACAACATAAAGTAATAACTTGTCTACTTAAAGCGTAAAGCTGCAGTGGGTAGTTTTTTTTATAAAACCAATATGTGCTTCACATATTTGTTAAAACTATCAGAATTAAGTCACTCCTCCTGGCTCCGATTGGGTGTTTCTGACCTGGAGCTGTGTATTTCTGCAGAGGACAGTAAGAACACGGGGAGGTGGCAGAGGAGCTCGATGTTTTTCACAGATTATCTGTCACATATTATAATGTCACGGCATAGAGACAGTTGTAACAAATGTGTAAATAAACCCAAACATTTTGATAAAAGTTTCATACTGCAAGCTTTAAAGACAACAAAATCTAAGTTTTGGCCATTTCAAAAATCTCAGCCCCAAAGACAATTTGTAGGATCAGCTGAAAAGTTGAATGTGAACAAGGAGCCCTGCAAACTGGACTCAGCTGCAAGCAGTTCAAATTCTTACAAACTACTTTGAGAAGGCTACAGAATAATACCAAAAAAAATCCTGAGAATCAAATTACAAAAATATTGTCGAAGAAAAGACCCTATCCCTGAGCAGAATCTGGTGCTGCTCAGGTATAGCAGCACAATAATAACTAACAATAATTAGTTATTATTGTTTGGATAATAACTAATTATCCAAACATTTTATGACTTTCGAACGCACTCGTTCAAAGTGTGATGTTTTCTTCCAGTTTGTTTTGCGTTCAACAGATATGTTTTCAGTCAATCAGTTCAATTTACAACCACGTGTTACGTAAACTTTTAGGATTTACAACTCGTGGATGTGGTGCTTTACTGCTGGCAGCGTTTCAATTACAGCGTGCAGGTCTACAGGCGCAGGAAGCTGATCTGACATCTGTTATACATCTTACTTACCTATTTATCTCAATATGCCTCTCTTTAGCTAAGCATAAAATATTGTATATGTGGGGAAAATATTTATTTTCAACTAAACTTAGAAATAACACAGTGCAATTTATATTTATAAGAAAAGGTCAACAGAATTCCTGTCTACAAATTAAGGGTATTACGAAGGAACTAACTATTAAAAGAAAAGAAACTACGCAAACAGCCCAACAAATAAGCATCAACTCCCTTTTGCATTTGCGAGCAAACTCCCCTTTTGAACACTTCACCTTACTCACAGCCATATCAGCCAAACATACCTCATTAAGTTGACACATTTTGTTCTGGGTTGTAAGTCTCCCCCTAATGTTGTCATCCAATCCATTAAACAGTCATTCTTTCTTTTTCTCTCCATCTATCTTCACTTAACCTCCGTATGCTCTCTGGAAACCGGCTGACACTGTGCGTGCCACAATAGCGGCTCGGCCGGGCTCTTGCTGTGGTCTGAGAACAATGCTGATCACCGTGTTCTCTTCCGGATGAGTGGAAAATGGCTAAGAACAATATGTAGAAGTCCAGCGTTATGTCCTAACGCTGGACTTCCACATATTCCCCGAGGCACGATGGATGACACCGGTTCCTGGGTATTGCTCTGTTTTTCACAGACATATGCATCCGCTTTGCACAAGTTTTTGTGCCCCTTGGAGTTGTTTGTATTTTGAGACATTAAAACCAAAAATCTATTTGATTTTGTTGAGATTCAATTTCCTGAGGGAGTCTTCCCAAGTACGAGTACGAGTCTAAGTCTAAGTCTAAGTCTAATGAACCCAAAAAGAATCACCACATTGGATGGAGAGAATCTCAGACATTGATTTTTGTGTTTTGCAACCAGCTCCTTCTTTAGAGTGCAGGTAAAAACTTGAATCAGGCCCCTCTTATACCAGAACATCGCTCTGATCTAACTTTCTGCTCAGCTCTTCAAAGTCCTCTGCAGTCAACAGGTTTTCTTCCGAGAAGACTCCTCTATTTTTTTTTAAATCTTTCTATAAACAGAAGCATCCCAAAAGATACAATACAACAAGCAGAATGAATCTATGTAGAGATGTTGTGTTCGAGGTCATGCGCAACAATAGTTTGGGATTTAACATGGAAACAACAAAAAAATAAAACAAAAAAAACAAAACAAAACGAAGCATCTTCTTCTACAATGTCCTGTCTGCTACGCTGCTTACTGCAAACCACGGACTTGACTTTTAATGGGTTTATTCTTTCCACATTATTCTTTCCTATTTTGGGTGATTTATTGAACAGTATTTCCCTGAATCATACACAGCTCTAGGAATGGCTTAATAGCCGTTTGAAACTTCCCTGCAACCTAATGCCTGATCTGCTGAGCTCTTTGGTTTTTATGATCCTGTTTGTTCACTAATGTTCTCCTGAAAACATCCAGGCATTGATTTATTATTATATTAAGTTACACACAAAATGTATCCTTTTTATCAATTAGGTGACAATTAGATGCAGTAGATTGCACTGGATTTAATTTAGGACCATCGTGGCGGATGGTTCTGCTGTTGGTTTCTTTTAAAGGTGAATTTTCCTCTCCACTGTCGCTACATGCATGCTTTGTATGAAGTTTTGCTATTAAGTCATCTATACAATGTAAGCCATTGTCTACTGTCGCTAAATGCTAATGCTAAAGAAAAGAATGCTGCAAATTAAGGGATACTTAGAATATAAGCGTGAATTGAAATTGCTTTTTTTTTTTTTTTGGTAAAGTGCCTCGAGACATTTGCTATGAACTAATAACATATAAATAAACCGAATTGAATTGAGTAGAGGGGGCTGAATCCCAACATATGCCACCCTTGTTGCATTTCCATGACAGGAAATCTAAAAGATATTTATGATTCTTTCTGAAAGTATGTGTCAGTCTATCACAAAAAACAAAAATCCCAATGGAAGTACGTCAATGGCAATTGTTTAGACCCCAATTAAGAACTAAAACTTTACTTCATCTTTCTTTCTAATATATAAAAACCAACTGAGTAAGAGGACAAACGCCATCAGCTGGGCTGACATGATGACGGCCTGCGGAGAGCAATCACAGCTCTTTCAATTCTTTACCGAGAGCGGCAGGAGAAATCCTCCACAAAGTCTACAAAGGCACTTTATTAAAACTTTTTTTTTTTCAAATGGATTTTAAATGTCACTTCCATGTAACGCTAAAGGCACCAGCATTTTTTCGGAAAAGGAAAACCAATCATCCAGGAATGTATTGTTTGTTTGCATTCCAGACCCCTCAGCCTTATTCAGCTTCTGCCCAGTCCTACAAAAAAAAAAATCCACTTTCTACTGCTACTTTTTAGTGAAGCTATTACAAATGATCATGATAACGACAATAATACTTTTGTTTTTTTTTAAAGTGCACTTCCACAAACTCTAACGACACCATTTCTCATCGTGACCTGTCAGAACAGAGGTCCTGTTGTCTGCCATTAACCGAGCTCTGCCCAACCACAGCTGAATATTAATGGGAGTGTGTGCATTTAATTCACAAACCCCCGATCTGCATCTTCTGGTCTTGGGGGAGGTGGAGGGGAAGGAAGGGGATGCTTCTGTGGGTTTCAGAGGTGTATCTTCTCAATCAACACGCACACACGCACCCCTGCTAAAGATTAGTTATGTTGCAGCTCAGGAGCATTGCAAGTCTAATTAAGCTGTCATCACTGGGCGCAATAAAAAATCCCTATCAGAATGATCTATACCCTCGCATCTGAGGGAAATGAGGGTCCTGCTGAGAAGAGCAACCGGTCTGACTGATGATGAGCTGATTCCAATTAAATCACTCTGATGTCTTCTTGTTGGCGGCCGCACGCTGCTTATACAAAGTAAGCTGATCATGTTGGGATGTGACAACTTATCAACAGGCAAGGCCAATCCACCTCCACCACCACCACCCAACCTCCCCTTTGCACTCCTGTAAGGAAGGAAATGTGTGCTATAGCAACCACTTCCACTGAAACCTCATCATCTCAGTGCGTCAAGATGAGTGAGGTGCGCAATGTGCAAAGTCACCAATATTGCGCACATATAAGAACGATGACAGACAGAAGGGGAAGAAGAGGGAGGAAGAGGAGTAGGAGGAAGATCGAGGAGGGGGAGGGTGAAGGAAGGGGCTTTAGGATGCGCCGGTCAACATATGGGTTTACCTTAAAGAGGCGATGCGAGCGCCGGGGATTTAGGATGATGTCGATGACGCTGGCCCGTCCATCCACAGCACGATTCTTCTCTCCTCTGCTCTTTATGATTTTGTTGCTTTAGCTAGGCCATTTCCTCCTCCTCGGATCGCCGTTATTTCTCAAGAGAGTAGCTGGCTTATACACCTTCTCCCGTCTTTCTCCGGCTTTTCCCAAAACAGAGAGAAAACACACCTCATTCTGCACCCCACCCCCCCTCCGTCCTCCTCCACCACCACCACCAGCACCTCCTCTTGCTCCTGCTCTCGTCGGTCCTCTCAGACTATACACACACTTCGGTCTGTTTCTCCCCCAACCCCCCTCTTTAACCACCGATATTTGACTTTTCTGTGGCTAAAAAAAAAAAAAATGCTGCAGAGAACCCAATTTCAACGGGGATCTGGACGGGGGGGCAGAGAGAGAGAGAGCGAAAGACAGGAGGTGGGAAAAAAAAGAGACTCGCAGGGAAACAGATGCGTAACGCAATAGCGTCAAGACCCTGCGCGTTGCTTCAAAAGTGAACGCATTGATGTGTCCTCTTTTCCCCCATATGTCCACGCTGATGATAATCCAAGGTGGGATGCGCGCACTCGCTGCGGCCCTTGGAGAGAGACAGAAAGAGAGAGGAAAATAAAAGAAACACCGGAGGGCTTTTCGTCCTGAGAGAAGAAAGAGCGCTCCAAAAAGGTGTCCGAGCTTCTTCTTTTTCTTTTACGCGCTTGCGTGATGCTCTCTCTCGGCTGGAATAACAAACAGAGCGGGCATCCTCCGCTTGGACCTCATGGTGTGTGTGCTGGAGAGAGAACGCGAGAGAGAGAGAGATAGAGAGAGAGGAAAAGAGAGGGAAAGAGAGAGAGAGAGAGAGAGGAGGCGCGATCAGACGTTTCGGGGGGAGTCGGGCAGGCAAGTGATGTGAAGTCCGTCGATGCCCGCACCGGCGCAGATCTCCACGGCTCGTCGTTCTGGAGAGCCCACCTCACCTCTCCCCCTTCCGTCAGTGCGGTCTCATCGACTCCCTTCGCTTATAGGACACACGCGTGTAATATCGCAGCCTCGCGGCTTACCGTGGGCTTCGTGACGAAGAGATGCGGCGCATAACGCCAATAGGCGCCGCTGCTGCTTTTACCATATTTATATATTTATTTATTTTTTTAAATCATTATTGATAGCTATATTATTATATTTGGTTGCTTTGGATCGGCATGTGTCAACCTGCTCACTATTATTATAATCATTATTATAGTAATAATAATAATTATTATTTTATTATTATTATTATTATTATTTTTTACCTCAAACTGCACAATATTTGTATAGCCATTATTAGAAAATATTAAAGCGTGTCTCTGCTGCTTCAGCTGTAGCCATATTCATAATCCTAAATATTTCTAGAGATAATTCTAACGCTCACTTTCCACTGTTTGGCCGCTTGAGGGCAGCAAAATCGAGCCTACGGCCGAGCCATAGTCAAATTATCAATTGATTCTTTGATGACCCCCGAGTCCGATAATTGCTCTCGATTATATTCCGTTTGTTCTCCTGCGGGAAATCTCTGTGCTTTTAGAGCTGCCAAGTGGTTTGTGTGTCTGTCCACCACTGCTGCTCTTTAAAGGTAGATTGGAAGGAAGCGGCTCTGTTGGCTAACCTTTAGTCCTGTTACCGGCACAAAGTTCAGTGTGTTTTGGGTTATAGATGAGACAGCACAAGGTGGTGTATGATTTACAATGTCTTACAGCATCTTTTTATGCTTCAAATCAGGAAAAATCAGGTGTCCATTTGTATCCGAACTGTGAACTGAGACTTCAGAGCCACCTTTCACAGCAGGAACAGCTGCAAGTCTCAATTTAGTTTTGAAATTTTCTCTGAAATTTTAACCTATTTATTTATTTATTTATTTATTTATTCTTACAAAAGAGGTCAGACTCGGTCAGGTTTAATGGAAATCATGTGAATATTCATGGACCACAGATTCTCAATTGGGCTTTGTTCTGGACTTTGTAAAGTTCAGCTTAGGCTTCATCTGACTTGACTAGATGTCTCCAGTGTTACCTACATGTATCAATTACTTTTTTTAATTATTATTCTCAACAGATACTACCTCTTTAGGTGTGAAGCTCTGCTGCTCATCCAGAGTAACCAGCTTCTGTTCTCTATGTCTGGCCTGACAATTTTCCATGTCTGCAGATTTGCAGAATCCCCCCCCCCATTTTCTAATTTAGTCTTCCACTTTGACCCGGGTTTAAGCTTCTTTAAAACATTATCACTGACTTCTCTGGTGTGGTACTTAACTCTGTTTGTTCAATATGCTTCTAAAACAAATAACCGACAAAACACTTGTGTTTACATGCAGATACAAGTACACACAGGTGGATTTTAAGCAAGAATTTTTCAGATTTTGAGTTGTAAAAAAAATAAATAAAAGTTTTGGATTATTTTCCCTTCATCTTATTATTTGCATATAAAATATGCCGGTTTACACACTTACATTTAAAGGTTGCAGGATAGGGTATATGTTTCCTTTTTGTAGTAGTAGTGTGTTTTTTGTTTGTTTTGAATGTACACACCTACTTCTGAGCTCTTTTGGCCACTAGAAAAGGAACAGGGCAGATATATGAAAAAATAAAAAATAAAAATCTCTGTTCCAAGGATGAAGGACTCATTAGAGACGTACAACATGGAGAATAAACTTTAATAAAGTCTGTGCAAGCAAATCAGTGATCTAATGATGCTGGCCACTGGAGTCTCTGTGTTCTTCTGGTTTAGCAGGAAGGAGAACTGGAAAAAAAAGCCCCCCCAAAAACCAGAGAGCACTCAAGAGGGAAATCAGATATCCCGTTTGATCTGAGAGCAGTGCTGGTTGAATCAATAAAAAAACTGAAGGGTTTTTACCATGATGGATGGATGGATAAATTTAGAAATAAAGGGCATTCTTTTTAATAAACCACAGAGAGCTTAAGGTCTTCTGGGACTTTTTTTTGCCAGAGAGAAGAATTCATGTCCTCCAGATTCTAGGGACTCACCCATGGAAGCCATCTTTACTCAGTCAATTTTTAAAAATGAATGCTGAACACTGACCTTTTAGGTCAGGACATGATGTGTTGCTTTTTGAGACCTCTTCTTGTTATCAAACAGGACATTTTAATGTGATTTAAGAATCATACCAGTCTTGCAATAAACAGTCTTGGGTGTGGGAATTGAAATTGGATTCAGCTTATTCAACCATGAGGACAGAAATAGTTAATTTCATGATTTATTGGACAATTATGTCTTTGAATGCGTCCAGGTTGGTTTGGGTAGCCAGTTTCCTTTTAAAAATTAAATGCTTCTTTGCAAACTGCCTTTTGTGTTAACTTTTTTATGTTTCACCTGTTTCATGTAGGTGGGACAAATAAGCAAAAGCAGAAGAAGAATCTCATGACTCATAGCCCCGATGTTTCATCAAAGTGGGAATTTTGTTCCCTGACGTGAGACTCCATCAGGATTTTTTTAAAGATGCAAATCAATAATGTCCATTGAAAGCGGTGCAAGTGTTACAAAGTTCAATTTTCAGCCATATAGTAATTTATTTTTCTGAGATGCAAGGATTTGTTAATTTTAACAGTTTTCTAAGCACACAACTAAATTGTAACATTTGGGCAAAGAAGACAGGAGAGAACTGAACTGATTTAAATAAGCTTGGAAATCCTAATTTGCACATCCTATGTAATTACTTACGCAATGTTCACACTGGCACATGAAGCCATTAGTATTATTAGAAAAAAACAACAACAAACAATGTCATATTAGGGCTGTGAATTTCACTCGTAATGTTTTGTTGGTGAACTATGAACATGAAGCAGTTCCATTTCAAACTGCGACCCTGGAAACTGTTTTACAACAAATTTCATACCATTAATGATAAGCTAATTGCTGTAACTGCTTCAATGTTTCTTATTGCAGAAATCTAAATCTTTTTTTTTAAATTATTATTATATTCCATTTTAAAACTCTGCCAGGATGAATAATAATGTCTCATCCCTGATGAGCAGCTTTAAGAGTCTGTAAGCTGACTCATCATGAGCTCTTTAACTTTTTAATTGCTTCCCTATAGAGAAAGTCAGATTACAACAAGTTCAGTCAGTTATTTGGAAGTCAACCTTGTTCATTTTGCTTTGAATTATTATTCTTATGTTAACTTAATGTAAAATAAAAAAAACGCCTCGTCATGTAGCTGCTAAAAAGCTTTCATGTTTCATAAAGTTTGCTCAATGACACGTAACTCGTGGTAGTTCAGCTGGAAGATGAACATTGTCTCAATGGTCCTTGTGCAGAGGGAAGATCTCATGTGCCCTGTTAGAGTCGGATGGAAGAGGCTGTTCAGGAAACCAAGGCAAGGTCACCAAGCAACTGACCACTTAGCAGAGGTCATGCAGAGGTTAAAAGGAGCCCCGGATTTCAAAAGCGTCTTCTTTTTAGTCGGTTTGGAGCGCAACAGCTCAGGAGAATCTGAGCAGCCTGGAGGTAAACCGCCACTGAGTGGGAGTGTGTGTGTGTTTTTTTCTCCTCTCTAAGTCACAAGAGCGTGTTTTAGATGGACGAAGAGTGGAAAAAAAGGTTTATGATGCAGTACGTGGAAATCAGTTCGATGTTCCCTGTGGGGAATGTAGGTCGTTGGGTTGAGGTTGTGTTTTTGGATCAGAGGGGTCAGCGAGGTTGTGCCACAAACAAGGGAGACCTAGAAAAGAATTCATTTTTATTGATTTATTTTTATTTATTTTGAACATGATGGCAGTATAAAATTAACACACATGAACAAGGAATGCAAAAGACACATTTTATGTCCCACAAAAATGTTAACATGCTCAAAAAGGTGTAGGAAGAAATAAGAAACATGTGAACTCCCATCCCATAAACTCATCCCATGTTTTAAGATGGACCCTCACTATTAAATAAACATTTTTACATTTTATTGACATAGGATTGCATATGTCTAAATATATACATCCATACACACATGCACTCATACGCACTAGATCAGTTTACATATACACATTCGTGCTTATTTATTGTCAAAATGACCTCCTTTATGTTTTCTTTTAAATTGTATTAAATTTTGACTTTGTTTTAACTTGTTCCATAATTTCTCACCATGAATTGAAATACATAGAATTCGTGCTTTTCACATTTTCTCCCATTTACAATCAGAAAACTTTATCGTATTTAATGGGAAGGAAAAAAAAATCATGCAAAAATATTTTTTTGCAAAAATATGTGCTTGAATTTGAAATTAGATGGGTTTTTTTATTTTCAACAAAAACCGTTAGAGGCTGAAGAAGATTTGAGACTTAAGTTTTTTTTAGAACAAAACTACACAGAGTGTCAATAGATCACAGCATATGCAGGTGTTAGATCGTCCAAAGACATGAGAAATAAAAAATGTATGTGAAAACTGATGTTCAGAGATGCTCCCTGGCCAATCAGAATGAGCTGTTCTTCATGCCAATGACTGGCAGCATCTTGACAAGGCGTCTGGCTTTCACTCTGAGGTGGATTTGTATTTGTATTTCAGACCACAACACCTTCATCTCTGGGACACAGAGCCTGTCTCTTTTCCTGTGTGTTATGATGGCTGGAGATTCCCATCATGTCTGTCCTTGCACCTGAAGTTTCCAAAGCAATGACATCATCAGCCACTGTTTAAAGAGTCACTAATCATATGTAGGTATTTGAATATCAGTATCAGATATTTACCTCTAAATATCTGGTAAATATTTAGAAGTTTCTATGTGACTAGTTGAAATATCTGATTTCAAAGACGTTCGTAATTAAATCTTTGACATATGCTTTCTCTCTTTGTTGTCGCATTTATCAAATAGTTTAGATGTTGTTTTGAATTCATGCCTTTAAATTGTGAAATTTAACTTCAAATTAATGACGATTTCATGTGGTTCTTCTCAAGTACCAATACTTTGACCTACATTGGTAAACATGCTATTTTTTCCAGTATATAAAGCC